CACTGAAAACGTTATGGATGATCATACCCAAAATCTGTTGAATCATCAAGTCAAAGAGAAAGAACTGGATTAAAGCTGTTAAGACTATCTCAACTGGGATGGAAAAGTATGTAATTAGTTCTAACAAACAAGAGTTATTGTTGTATGTCAAATAAAAAGACTATACCCCACATTCACCCAATCAAACTATATAACATGAAAATTACTCGAATGATTCAACTGATAACTATTCGGTCAGAGAACAGCAAAAAGCTGCATCTTGGTTTTATTAAACTTTTGTTTGCAATTTAAAGCCTACAATAGTTGAATTTTCGAAATTTAAATGGAATGGAACATAACTCAAGCCACATGAACGAAGTCACATTTTAGTTGGTGTAGTAAAACATTGGTTGCGTTATGTAACAGAAAGTAGTGGGATTTAAATAAGAAGAGAAATTGTGATGATGTTGAATATAATATTTAGGAATAGATGTGTAGTTGCGTTGAGCTTTGATAAAGACAAAAAACATTACAACATGGACTATTTTCTCAATTTAACTTCCTAACCTTTGAAGCTTCTAACTTTGTTTCCATCGTTGAGGACAATGTCCTACATCAATGAATTAGTTTAATCGTTGGATAGTTTGTATTTAAAGCAGCTTTCTAATCACAATCCCTGACATATTAACACACTTGAGAGAGTGAGGAATTAAGGTAAAAGATCCTATGGTAGAACTTTTTCTTTTATTTGCACTTCTTTCTTACTTACCAAAGAATATTTATGAAAAACCTGCAGTAGTTCTTCTCTCAGCTTGTTCTTGTAAAAGAGTTGTTATTTGTGATCAATATATTGTTTTCAACCGATGACAAAAAATCCTTTTGAAATTCATTTGAATAATTTTTGAAGTAAACTCCCCTGTTATACAATGTGATGCATTTTTGCTAAATGTCTTAGTGTTTTATGCAAGTTACACAGCGCTGAATTCCTGTCAAGGAGAAAGATGGATAACTGTTTAGTAAAACAATCAATTCAATGACCTTGACATGGTTTCATTTTGTCCTAGGTTATTTATAATTTATATAAATGGACTCCTTGGCTGCTGATATATTCAACAGTTTTCGTTCTTAAAATATGAACTTCTTGATGATCATATTGAATAGATATATCGGTGAATAAATGAATAAAATATGTTCAGAAATAGATAAGTATATAAGATGTTAATTAAAAAGCATTATTATAGTAATAATGTGATAATTAATCCACCACTATTGCATATTTCACCCCTAGAAAATAGTTTATAAAATTATTTCAATGACAGAAAATATGAGGTGATCCGAAGAAACATTTTTTCATTGTATCTTATCGTATTTTAAAAAGTATCAATGTGTTCGTGAATTTTTATTACAAAATTACAAAGTAATGCATAATATCAAAGCGCATCTATTCGTCACAATAATACATAAAATAGAATTATAGACATAGGTCCTCAGATTTTACCAAGATATTCTGTAATGTTGTGTTATAATACATTTGGTTGTCCCCGCATATGTTCTCGTTCACTAAAATAGTTCAGTTGACTGAAAAAAAGAGGAACAAAAGAGAAACTAAAATCGATTCGGTGGTTGGACTGATAATTTCTACTTACGAGACCAATATTCAAAATTCGATTGAGTACATAACAAAAAACAGAACCGTGAGGACGGTCCACGGGTGAACTATATATGAATATATATATATATATATATATATATATATATATATATATATATATATATATATGTAGTCAACTATCTATCGATTCACCCGTGGACCGTCCCCACGGTTCTGTTGCAGTTGTAAAACTGCCATTTCACAAATAAATAAGAAGAATGAAGATAAAAATAATGGAGCAATCACATATTATTTATTTATTCGTATATTGTAAGATCCATCTTACTCATTGAGAACAAAAGTATTTTATTATATGTAGAGAAATTATTTACTTTAAAACATCAACTTTTCCATTGATTTTTCCGTTTTTAAAAAAATACTATTCATATTTTCAGCTTATACCTAATTAAAGAGGGTTTCCTGAATATTATAGTAAGTTAATAGTTGAATTTATCAGTTAATTGAGGCCACACCACCATGAAAAACCTAGAAGCACTGGACGACCGTTTTTTCATAGTATGGGACTCCTCAGCAGTGCGCATCCACGATCCTGTGACCAGTGAAGTTCAACCAGGTCTGTTGTGAGATATTAATTTACCGAAGGCAATGGTGGATGGTGACGTAATTTTATGAACTGGTTAGAGTTAGACATTAACACTGCTAGATGCCGGCTCAGTGGTCTTAAGGTTAAGCATTCGCATGCGAGACCGATTGGTCCTGGGTTCTCATTTCCCATGGTGGTTTAGCTTCAATTCACTCATGAATTCAACTATTAAATTATACTTAATTTTTTACATAGTTGTGTGAAAATGTAACTGTAATTTTTATGTATAAAAATTCTTAACAAGTATATGTATGATTAGACTGCTCAAAGTGTATTGCATTAATGTATATTACATAGTTGTGATAATCTTTATCTCCTTTTAACACTATCCAAATGTATCACATAGACTAGTTGCCTCAACTTTAAAAAAATTCTTTAGTTCTATTGTAATTAAACTGAATATTGATGATAAATTATTTTCAATTGTACTGATAGTGTTTTTATGTGGTTTACATTGTTTTCTATTTTCTCAACTTCAGTTCATCTATTCATTTGTTTATAAATTGAGAATAATTAAATGGTTTGATATTGCAATTGATGTTCATTTGTGAAAATTGACATTCAAGAAAAAACGTTTATTATCTTAAAAAAAATCCTATATGTTTTTTCGTTTCAGTTTTATACCTTCGTTGAATGTTCAAGGTTTAAAGTTCAATAAAGTACTTAATTGATGAAAAAGGATATTTGAATTTGACTGTTAGTTAGAATAATGTGATCAAACTAAACAACTACATATTCTTTAAATTAACAATATCATTTGAATGTAAACATAGTTTGCTTTATAAGAATTAAATGTAGTGTGTAGAAAGACAATCCAATATTATAACAGTTCATGATACTCATCAGACAGTGAATACAGTGTATATTTGAATAAACGTGAAATAATCTACTGTATGTGAATATATGCCCTGTAAGCAAGGAAAAAGTTTAGGGCAAAAGATTATCACTAATTAGGCTTTTCGACTAATAGGAACCAAATTATTTAGTTAAAGTGTTTTAGTAATTAATCGTTAGATTGTGGTCAACTACAATTATAAATAGACAACGTTACCTATCATATCCTAACAGATTTAGATAAAACTAAGTTAGGACAATTAACGATAACCATTTACTTTTTTAGTGTAAAAAAAGAGATGTAAATTTTTCTGACAACTGACATTGCTTTTTGTTAACTTTCATTAGATTTACAACAGCTTGATAGAAACTGATCATTTTATCCGGTGATTTCCAGCAAGTGTCTGTAGATGAATAAATTTATTTTATTTTGTATAATTTCTGTTAATTTGTTGGTTTGCAAATGTTAGATCATATGTTACCGAAATTAAAACGTTCATTAAGCACAATCATAAACAACACGATAGGTCTTCAATTTGAGCTCTAAGATACTGACTCTTTAGTTTGTTGTTTCTTCTCAGACGTTTTCCTTTTGTAGAACATTAAATAAAAAATAGAAAGCAGGATAAATAGAAGTTTTATTTCTAATGTCAGATTATTCAAAAAAGAGTAGCGCATTTATAGAACTATGTGTGACATTAAGATTCTAGAGATTTTGGGGAAACATTCTGTTATTCAACGAGAAAAGTTAAGCATTGTCCAGTAAGGATAAGGAATTCCCACAGAGAGCTGACTGATAAGAGTATTTTCAGCGCGTTTCCTACTTCTGGAGATGTTTCTGAGGGACGTAGAAGGAAATAAATGACCGATAACTATCCCATTTACCTGTAAAACAATGCAAAGCCAATTTAGACGACAATATATCATAACTTCTTTAAGATGTGTAACTTATCAGCTTTGTTCGGATAGCAACAATGGGGTTAAAATGTGTTTACATTTCATGGCCTATGATTATCAAACACAACATGATTTAATTTATTTCCTTCAAATTATATCGATATCTCATCATTGTCTTGTGTTCAAAGGGACTTTGAAATACTTATATCGCAGTAAGTGTAGTAGTTTATTTTAAACCAAAACTTGCAATAATTACAAACATTTTTCTAATTGATCACAAAATGATAAATCTGAAAATATTTTGTTAACTTTGAGCTACTAATGAGTAGTTAAAGCCGTTTTACAAAATTAATTTGTGACAATGTTGTTTTCATGTTTCAACATGTTAAGATGACCGTTGTCAAAAAATTAGGGCATTTGTTTAAAATTGGCGAAAAAATGATGTGGAGTACTGCAAAAAGTAACTTTATGTAGTTGTTTTATCTCAAGGTACCTAAACTTGTATAAACTTCAGTGATATTCTGATTGATTTGCAGTCTTTCATACAATTAGCAGACTATAAATACTAACTATTCTATTCAGTATTAAACGCAAAATTAAGGATGGAAACGGTAAATGTAAAATAAACTTTCACAATAAGTTAATCATCGTTTGAGAAAAGGCAAGACCAATCAGATTCAGGATGACAGGTCTTGGGTTTTGGTGAAAAATCCATCCACACATTCGTTTAAAGAGCGTTTTGACATTTTAGCTGATGTCAGTTCGTGGTGAAAACCCTGAATCTAATTCCTGACCCTAACCACAATTGCACATCATAGTCCTTTTATTTCAAACAGGTTCATAACCCTCATCTAGTCCTAGTTAGTAGACGAACATTCTCAAAACCAATTTAGCGTCGCTTAAAGGTCGTCCATAAATTAGTCTCACCCTTAAACCGATATATACGGTTTTTGTTTTCATTGTATATTTAACAGTAATTATTGTAGAATCCATTGATTCACTTGTATTATATAATTGTACTTTTAACAATTTTAGGTATAAGAAATCGGAAGACGGCTCAAAAATAATTATTCGTCAAACTGCTGATGCAGATGAACACTTTTTTAAAGCACTACGAGGACTAAAAGTTGATGTTTCCGTAAGTGTTCAATTACCAAAAGAAATTTCATAAGATTTTAAATAAATTTATTGTAATGTATATTTAAAATGATTTATGTTGTATAAAATTGTCAGCTACATAGCCAATTACAATAGAAAGTCTACTGTAAAGTTCATTTATTTCACATCATCACATTTTAGTGATTGATCGGTGTAACTACATTTTGTAAACAAATTATGGGATGAATACATTGTATTAAATTGGAGTTATTGTAGTAATTTACCAAGAATAAAGTGTTCAATTTCATCTAAAATGTAAAAATAACATGTTTAGTTTGCCCACGCAATAAATTGACTTTTAGGTATAGTTACTTTATTTCATTTAAAAAATATACGTGTCAGTAGCTGAACAACCATCTTGTATCAATCTCTGGAAAAAGTTTCCACTTTGTTTTAGGTAGTGTAATTTATTGTGGAACTAATACATTTGACTTATATTCCTGACTTTTCAGTTGTGTTTGTTTTTAACATACACACTTTATTGAGTAACATGCTAGAACTTTTTATTAGAGCACGAAATTTTCTAGTTGCATTCTAATTACCAGTCAACTTACACTAGTTTTACTAATATTCAGCATCATATTATAACTTAATATATAAAACAAGTTATGATCATTTACAATGCATACAACCAGTCAAATAGTTTGTATCATATATAGGAACTAAAATAATGTATATCATTTATAAGCTACTATATCAACCACTTTTCTACTGAAACCTACTAAGGTAAGGTTGTCAATTGTGATTTATCTCTCAGAAAACTGTTCATATCGGAACAAAAATTGACTAGGGTTATTTTTTTAATCTCCGTGTAGATGTATCAAATGAAAGAAAAAGAGATGTGTAATAAAAAAAGTTGTTTAATTACTTTTAAATCTATTTCAGATATTGTTTTTCACAAATATTCCCTACAATAAACCATTAAATTTGTTGGTGGAAAAATATGACAATTAATGTTCGGATAAACAATTTCAGATTAGAAACATGACAATTAAATTTAGAAGGATTATAAGAATTGGAATTTTTCTAGATTCTTGTTGTGAATTAAGGTCTTTTTTTTTAGTATTTCTGTGATAGAACAGTATAATTTTACGGATGAATATCAAAAATTATATCTTATCAATTTCAATAATTATCTGAAGGATGAAGCGGTGACCTTCCAGATTTCTTGCAACTATCTATAATAAATGTCAATACAGTTGAACATGAAAAAGTCTCCCAGTGTCATAAAGTATTACCTATTCACTTTTTGAAAAGATTTAAACAAATTAAGTCATCCGGGAAATACTAGGTTTCAGTAATCTTATCTACAAATTATTCAGGACGTGAAATTATTTTAAAAATAAATCTGATAAACATTTGTCTAAATAAATCCCATTTTCATTATTTGTTTTAGCAGACTAACCTTAAATCACCTAATCTACAGAAACAACCGAGTATTTATGAAAAATGCAATAATACATCAACTATTTCTTTATCCACTCCAACTTCAATTCATTCATTTGATTTTGGAGAAGAAAAAATTCAACACTGGTCTCTGAATGTAGAAGAAAAACATGAAGGAGATAAAAAGCGTTCAGCTGCAGAATTAGCTGTAGATGAGCATTTCGAAAAGTCTTTAGCAGCATTTCGTGCTTCTGCTTCAAAAAAGCAGAATGATCGCATTATCTGTGAAGATCATTTAAAATCACAAGCATCTATAACACATTCCTCAAATCAGAACTTGATAAATAGCTTGACATTGAAGGGTTCTGATTCGTATTTACATCATGATAAATCTAATATTCATTATAATAAGTTTCAACATAAATCTTTACAAACAGAACCTAGAAGTGAGCATTATAATGTAAATTCAATACTTCACTATAGTAATACTAAACCTACATCAAATCCTAATTTGGCAGTAACGTGTGAAAATACTCTATTCTCACCGTCGAGCATTTCAAGACAACTGACTAGCACTGATGAGCTACATGATGATGTTGAAAGTGATGGTTCAATTCAAGTTCATAGTCCAAACATTACTACCAGCACTGCCATTAATCGATTCAAAATAAAATTCGCTTCATCTTCTACATCATTACCACCATTATTTCCTATTAACTCATTTAAACCTAAAAAGAATTGGCTAGCTCAATATGACTGGAGATATCAGCAACCAGAGACAACAACCATTAGTCCAACTACACCAAACACTAACCAATCTATTTTCGATTCATCTGGATCATCCCCATCATCGATCAATATTGCTAGTGAAAGTATGGATGATGTCCAACATATTTCGAATGTATCTATGCCAAAACTACACATAATATCTGAATTACGTAACACTAACACTCCTGATCATAGTAATCATGGAATGTCTACAGAAGAAGCTCCAGATTTAAGAAATGACTCCGATTGTATCTTTTCATATTCTTCATACTCATCACCTTCTTCACGTTCCTCTTCTTGTTCTGGTAATAATCCTCCTGAATGCTGTACTACAAATAGCACTGAAGGTGAACTTCAACAATCTGGTAGTACACTGACAAAATCCAAACTTTCATTTCCAAAATTCGGTACAATTTCGTTAGTTGAAAAAGATGATTGTTATGAAAATGAATCTGAAGAAAAATCAATCAATCAAAGATATTTTGTCGACAATAGCTTCAAAAAAGTAAGTTACAAATGAATTTACTCAATCTGTTTATAACTTAATTTATGTATTAGTTTTATTCAGATATTTTGTCATGTTTTCTTGACTATAAAAAGTATATTGACTAGTATCACCATAAAATTACGATACTGTTGTAAGGCTCCGTTTTTCCCATCTACAAAAATGGAACACTAATATACTTTGAACGAATATCTATACTAGATTCCCTCCCATTGTCTATTCTACAGGACTTCAACACGTGGCTAGCCTGACTAGAACTTAAGTATATTTCTACACCAAAAACCGACAACAAGCACAATAATAATAAGGATAGGTTAACCCCTATCAGACTTTCTACTAGTCCAACTAACTAAGCAACCAATCGTTATCATTCTCCCCCACACACCAGATACAATTTTATTTATTTATAATATCAGAGAATAACTAAACTGTTGATAATAATTATTTTATACACATAGATCCCTTTATAATCTTAAAGAGAGAAATAAGATTGGTGCAGAATAATATGAGTTCATTTTATCTTGTCAGGTTCTCATCAATTACTTGCAACCTATAATATTTTTAAAATCAAAGTTAATGCAGATAATGATATACTTATAAATGCGAAGGTGATTAGAGATGAATATATGGGTACTGTGATGTAGCAAAGATCTCAATAGAGTTATTAAGGTCATAAAAGTAAGTTAAGTTATGACTTTATTAACTCAAATGGAATCTTCACTACATCACAGTACCCATATATTCATCTCTAATCACCTTCGCATTTATAAGTATATCATTATCTGCATTAACTTTGATTTTAAAAATATTATAGGTTGCAAGTAATTGATGAGAACCTGACAAGATAAAATGAACTCATATTATTCTGCACCAATCTTCGTTCTTTCTCTCTAAGATAATAAAGTTACTAAAGTATATTTTTTTACAATTGATTGATCACTCGTAAGTGACCAATGTCATGTATGTCAGATTATTTATAGTGCAGATATTTTGGTAAACGTATAATATACTAATGACATTGGACGACTTATCAACCGGTCTGGAAAAGGGTGGTTAGCTATAAAACAGTTAACAATACAAACCAATGAAATAAAAGTGGAATAATAACTCTGATAGGAATAATTAAGCCTAACATGTCAAATTATCCCTTGTAGTTAAGAAAAAAACATCAAGTTTACATACATACATGCATATTAGGAGTCAAGGTAGTATAGTTAAGGTTATCACCCTATAGAATTTTCGTCAAAAACTGATATCAGTTATAATGCGAAAAGGTTAGGGTCAGGTATTAAAAGTGAAACTGGAGTTTCGAGTTAGGTTTACAAATCAGGGTCAGGTCTTTCATTACAAACTGATATCAGGTATGATGAAGTGCTTTGCCACCTTTCTGTTTACAAACTTGAAAGACCTAGGGCTTGGATTTGGAGTAAGAGTGTGAAGAGGAGAATATTATCTGGCTTTACTAAATACTTGATTGAGCAATGAATGACATCAAGTGACCTAAAATTTACTTTTTAGTTTCATAATAGCTGTTTTTATTGATTTCAAGCATTTTAAGAACCAAATTTTGCCAATTTTTACTTCATTAATCATAAAACACATGTTATCTGTCACTGCATTTCAAATATTACACAAAATAAGTGAGGCGCTACCTTAATCCTAATTGGTTAACGGAAGTCTGTGAGAATATTATACTTTAACTGATATTTTTATTTACTTTATGTTAACTATACACTAAACCTTATTTTAAATAAAAATAGGTTGCTTTCTTCATTTTTCTATTTTTCACAATTTCTCGATCACTAGAAAGTTAAAAATGAAGGTGTTGAGAACAAAACGTATATCACATCAGTAAATAGTAATGGTACTATACCAACAACAATAAATAATAATAATAATCATGATAATAATTCCCTCGAATCTAATCTCAATTTCAATCGACGATTATCCAATTCCATTTCATCATCTACAACAATGAATGTTGAAATTGAAGAACCAATTGATGAGAAGCATTCGACAGGTATATTTTTCAATAATGGATCTAATTACAGTCTAGATTCAACAATTTCTTCAGTTATTATGAATAAAAATGAAAGTTCGTTAGACATTGAAAACGGTCATATTCAGAATACATATAACAATAATAACAACAAATCAAAAGATGAAGTTAGTAAAAAGTGTACAATTGTTCAGAAATCACAACAACATCATATTCAAAATTTTAATAATCAACATCATCATCAACAACAACAAACAACTAACGAAATGAATGATGCTGAAGATACTTTACATAATTTATGGAGTTTACGTAAACGTGTGTCGTCTGATGTTAGTCCTTGGTCTACGTTGAAACGATCTAGATCCGTATTAACTTCGACAAGTTTAAGTAATGATAAAGTTTCAACGAATACTATTTCATCAAATGAATTTTGTTCCGAAGAGGTCTATCAATTAGATAATGATGACTGTGGAATGTATAATACAAACGACAGAGGTTTTGTTCATAGTAAATCTATGGATAGCAAATTAAATCCATTTGATAACATTGATTCAAGTTTAAAATTTTCAAAATTTCATCTATCTACTTGCAAATCAATAAATAATAATGAATTATTAACTGAACCAAAAAAAACATGCAGTGAACCGAATGTGCCAGTTAGTAGATCAAGTATTAAAGATAAGAAATCACTAGCTGGTGCATTATCATATCCATCATTCCATCAACTTGAAAGTTGTCATCAAAATTTTTAAGAATATCGAATTATTCTTTATACAATTGTATGACGAATCAAATATATATATATATATATATATATATATATATATATATATATATATATGATCTCTGATGATCATCACTCAAAGATAGAGAATCTTTACTAACCGGTGGGCTTACAAACATAAAATATACTTCAATTAACATGTAACAATTTTTTTGACATGATTTATTCTTTTGTTTGAATATAAGCTGTTTATTATCAGTTTCAGGTCAGTGTTCACTTTTAGTACTATTATTTGTTTTGATCTTTAAATCTCCCATAAGATTTTTAATTTATACATAAATTAATCTTTCTCTTTTCATATTCATCTTTTCCTGGTTAGAACACAGTATATTTAAATACATACATATTACAGAAAATATTTTAGGTGAATCAGTATATATATATATATATATATATATATATATATATATATATATATATATATATATATATATATGGTCTTTCGTTTTCTTGTTCAGTATTTTTAGTGATAATATTCTTTATAAACCACTTCTAATACTATCACTTATATAAATTGGCAAAATGCAACTTTACACCAAGTGTGCATTACTTTTATATATATATATATATATATATATATATATATATATATATATATATATATATATATATATAGACCGGCATTCAAGTCATTTTGTTTATTAAATCGAGACCAATTATTTCTCAGTTATTTAAATAATTCTACAACTAATTGCACAACATTTACCATTGAATGTTCACTGTTACACATAACTTTCTAGTTAAGAATTCAATGAAAAATGTAATGAAATAAATAAAATTTTATGTTAAATACCAGAAATAAAATGTTTAACAAAATGAATAGATCAACTTCCTTGATTTTTTATATATTTATAAAAGTGCCTTCATTTACTGTTGATCCCCACAGGAGAAACATAAATATTACATTAACAAGTCAGTTTCATATCGTTAGAAATCTCTGTCTATCTTCTGTTATGTAAACAGAATAATTCAAATTTGCCTAAATAAATGTGTACAGAAGAGTTACATAGTTGTTAATGGAAGTTTGGATATTATTCTGGATTATCTTATAACTTATAAATATGTATTTCAAGATATTTTCAATAATCATTCAAATAAAAATAATCAATTATGTGTCATTTACGTTTTATCTACTCTTCATTGAATAATCAAGAAAAGGAGGTTCAAAAGAGATGTCAACCTCCATGCTAATGGATAAACTTGTAGAGTGGAGGTACTATTAATGACTTATCACTAACGAACATTAATATTCAGTTACTTATTGACCTTTAAATAAGTCATAAAGCATTAAAAAATGAGACATTAAAAACCAAACATTCTGTAAGGATTAATGTAATATAAGTTAAATAGAATATCAAATAATAACATCAGAATTAAATATAATTTCAGTATGAGGAAATCTTGAAAGGGAGTTTTATTTATTGTTATGAGTTTTGTAATAAGGTATCTAGTTAAATATGACAGGTTTTTAATTCACTGATGGAGATGATCGTTTTATAACTCTTAATCTCACTCTTCCTCTTAATCCTGAATCGTAACACTAAACCACAATCGTAAGTGTAACTTTAAATCCTAAACTCTATAGTTCTACCTTAAGTTGAGAGTTCACATTTTCTGTTCTTTGATTCGCTCCATGTGGTCAAGAATTTATCAGGGTCATTTCAACAGTTATCCAAGATAGCCCTTATAGTTTGACTTTAATAGGATTCCTAAATCTATATGACTATTATTTGTAGCGTATATTGGCTTTAAGTTCTGAAGAAATGTTTTGAAAATATTTCATTACTATTCAGCAATAAGCAAACTTATTTTCACTTGTGTCACTTGCTGGTCAATGTGGAAAATTATCTTTCTAAATATAAATTATGTGCAAACATTGACACTTAGTTAAGAAGTAAAACGAAATCTTGGTAACAAGATTCTATCTCAAATTGTAAGTTAAACAGATCACGAACCAAGCAGAAAATAGATGGAAACAGTTCACTTGTTTAGAAGTATAAGAGTAGGTCAAGATTACTTATCTATCTAGACACCAGATGTGTTCAGGAATGGCATTCATAAATTGGAATATAAGAATATCTCCAATATTTGACCACCTTTTACCAATTATTAAAAACCAGTATAAATAACTATGTGAACATGAAATAATGGAAGTTCACAGAATTTTTTATTTCGGTGTGCTAGTTAACGTGTAACAGTAAATAATCCCTCAGAACAAATAGCATGTAAGCATTTGACAATGACATCTACCCTATTACTTTTATTATTATTGTTATTAATTATTATTATTAATGGCTTTATTCAATATTATGTTTTGGTACAATATAGAATTCTTAGCACAAAATATTTCAACAAGTTTCTTTTGCAAAAAAAACAGGAACAAAGATAGAAAAAGGATAAAAAGGGTTATAAAAATATCTGAAAAACTGTACAACATTCCAAATGAGAGACATGTTAAGAATGCAGGTTATTGACTAGGTTAACTTTAACAACCTGTTTGTCACAGAGTAGAATTCGCTAGATAACGTATTCTAGAACCTTTATACTTTTGTAGGTATCATTACTAAGGTTTGATTTGATGATTTCGAATAAATTGAGCATTGGGTTGATTGTTATAAATAAATAAATAATATATGTGTAATATCCCAATGAGTAGAAAATTAGATTTTCTACTTTATACTTTTGCTTGCATGCTTGGATTTTAATGTAATTTCGTCTCGTTCTACCAGAAGATATACAAGGAGAAAGATGTGAGTGAAGGGGATGGTTAGTACCTGATAAGATAACTCATGTTGGCGGCCTGCTTGAATATCTGGGCTATCTGTTTCTGCCATCTAGTTATTTCAACAAATTATCTGTTTTTTCATTTTGTTTTAACCTCTCATTATGTCCATTAATCGCATAACCTATACAGGCGCGTTTATGAAAAGCCTACGACCTTTCGCTGCACAAGGTACAAAAACCTACAATAAAAGACATCGTGGTGGTTGGCAATATGCGTTGAAGAGAATGAACATTATTCGTATGTCGATTCCCGAATTGCTAAATTTTAACTGCCGATCATTAATTAACAAGATAGACTATCTTCAATCCCTACTAAGTCAAAATATGTATCGTAATTGTGGTGTCATCACAATTCAAGAATCTTGGTTAAATGATTTACAGGACGACTGCCTAGTATCTCTACATGATTGCGAAATTTATCGTCAGGATCGATCAAACGATAAAAAGAGGTGTGGCGGCGGTGTAGCTACTTTTGTAAACGTGAACTAGTGTCGATCTACGTTTGCGTGTTTCAAGTTTTCAAATGACTTTATCGACTGTCTAACTCTAAGATGCCGTCCAGAACATCTGAATAAATACAAATATGTTTATGTTACCAATATCTATGTGACCCCAGACTGAACATCATCTGCGCTATCTGTCTTCGCTGATGAATTTACTGAGTTCGCTGTTACTGCCTTCAGTGATTCACTTTCAGTTGTATGTGGTGATTTCAATTCATGTGACTGTAGCTTCCTTACATCGCTAGGTCACCAAAATGTAGTAGATTTTCCTACTCGGTTGGATGCTCATTTAGACTTCGTTTTCATTAATGATGTAGGTATATATGTGACTCGTAAACGTGCCCGATTGTCTAGCTCGGATCACTGTATAATTCGTGTTCTACCTAAAGTATATGGAAAGCATGGGAAGAGTACACTCTTAAATCTAAGCAAGAAAGTCAAATATAGGAATTACTCAGAAGTAAATATCCGAAACATGAAAGACATGTTTCATACGACCAACTGGGAATTATTTACACATGACTCACTAGAAATCACTTCTGATGTTATCACTTGTTACCTTAAATTCTGTTTTGATATTTGTTGTCCCACTGAAACTATTTTTGTAAGTTTTGATCGACTTACATCTTCACAACTAAAACGACTACGGGGAGTGAAAAAAAGAATGTACAAAAAGAAGAACTCTAGTGAAGTTCGTAAGCTAAATGGTCTGATAAACCTCGAGATTAGACGTCTAAACACTATGTTTGCTCAAAAACTCTTGTCTTGTAAAAACCCACTTCAAGTATGTGGAAACTCTTTGAAGAACTTACAGGTGACAGACAGATTAAGACCGATAACCAGCTGGATGTTTGTGACTTAAATAAATCTTTTTTACGTCTATCATCTGATGTGATACTACCTTTATTCACGGGTTTAAAAAATGGCTGTGTTCCTAGTTTCACCAAAAATGATGTCCAAAAATATATCCAGTCACTAAATTCATCCCGAAGTTCGTGACCTGATGGTATCCCAAACCTCCTTTTCAAAAAATGTGCTGACGTCCTATGCTATCCATTCACGACTTTTTTTAACAGATGCTTCTCTTCTAATCTCATACCGAAAATGTGGAGAAAGATAAAGATAATCCCTATACCCAAGAAAGCATCTAGTGATAAGAGTGTGAAATTCAGACCCACTGCGATAACTTCACTTTTCCTCAAAGCAATGGAAAAATTATTGACACTTTTACTTCAGCCAGCGATAAAGAACACATTGACCAGCATCAGTTTGCTTACAGATGCAAAAGAAGCACCCTAGATGATGTTGCTGTTCTGCATCATAATATAGTGTTCAACCTAGAAAACGGTAAGAAGTATGTTTGATGCGCTTTCCTGGACTATATATCAACTTTTGATTGTATACCAAGACAACTTTTGCTTAACAAGTTAATCAGCGTCAACACTGACAGCTGGATAACCAACTGGCTATGTTCCTATCTCTCTGGAAGGGAACAGTACACGGTGTTTGGAGGAAAGTGTTCAGAGTCTCTATTGTCTTATGAAGGTGTACCACAAGAAGCTGTTCTTTCACATCTTCTTTTCTCTTTTATTCCGCATGATCTGACATCTTCCACAGTAAACGCTTTTGTGGCATATGCGGATGATCTCACTGTATGTATGCCTATTTCTACCTCTTTACATCCTATAGAAATGAATGAGTTTTTATCTCGCATTGATAGTTGGTCTGTCGTTAATGGTCTTCTA